CCACCAGGGGGCTCAGAGAACACAGAGCAATAAAACAGGAAGAGACACCAACTGTCAAGAAGCAGAAGCCGCCAGAGAGCAACGCGACACTCTGCACAACTCCACCAGTGCAGCATTCTAGAGGAGTCAAGGCGAGAGACAGGGAGAGATTCCAAGAGTGGTGGCCTGGCGGGTACAAACTAGAGACAAGAGGTCAACGACTTCAAAGAGGCTTGCTGTGAAGAGGAGGGGAACRAGGTGGGAGCTGACAAGGGAAGTAGGATCCAGAGATGGGGATTCTTGCAGGAGGTGGACGGTCTACTCACAGGAATGATCCAAGAGAAAGGACAATGACCAAAGGGAGAGGAGAGAAAAAGAGGAGCAACGGGGAAACAGCCCAGAGCAGCCGAGGGATGGAGCTCAGCGGACAGGAAACGTGGACAGTCCACCCGAGTGACTGCGGGGAAGCGCCCATGAAAGAAAGTGTGCCTTTGGTTCAGCAGGAAGGAGCTTCTCCTGGAAGACAGTCACACAGAAGGAACTGCCTGTCTCAACTTCCAAGGCATGGGGACAGTATTCTCTAAACTAACTTCTGAAAAACTATTTTTCTCTCAAACCTAAATGAAACCTAGGTGTGCAAAATAAGAACAGAGAAGAACCTCTCACTTGTGCTGCCACTGAAAGCCCGCTCTATCAGCTGCTGAGACCCAGGAGACAGAGGCCACTCAGGCTGGCCACATCCATCAAAACCAACATCCCATGTTAACACAGAGCACCCCAAAATCATACCAGAAAGCTGAGGCTCTGAGAGACAGCCAAGTTAACACAACCCAATCTGGCAGGTATTATATACCCAGATATCTGCAAACACAACGTAYGGATCAATCTGATAAGCCCAGTTCTCAGAGAGGCTGACCTTGACCAATGAGGGTCAGAGGCCCCGTGAGGTTTACCCAGCAACAGGGGAGACAGGCTCTGCATGCAAAGACTTGTCCCGCCTGCAAGACTAAGGAACTCGTGAAAGGGAGGGTGCTTCATCCGTGGCCCTGAAACTAACACACTGCAAAAGGTCTTCCATGGTGAACAACATCTTTATCTTCTTACAAGCTTCTTTGGAGGGGAAGAAAGATATGAATCATTAATCTCACAAATCAAATCACTCATCCTATGGAACTCAGGGGGGAAGAGTCTTCAAAGACTCCTACAGTTAAAGCCAAGTGCATTTGAAAAACTAATGTATCCTACAAATCTGCGTTCCCGCCACCCCTGTGGTCTCAGCTCAGCCWGGCAGAGCTGTGTAGAGGCCAGGGCTGGGGAGGGGCCGTGGTGTGCAGGAGCACCTAGAGCACATCCCTGGTTTCCTCTACTGCTTAGAAATAAACCTTTCCTCAGAATACTGGGGGCTATGTGAGAAAGCTTGGAGCTCCCTCCACAAGATAAAGCCTCCATCCTTCCCAGGGTGGGTGGTGGAGAAAGCTGGTGGCGGCGGCCAGTCGGGCTCCCCTGGTGTGTCTCCTGTACCCTGCGTGGCCTTCCTAGGCATGGGGTCCATCATTAGGACCTGGCCTTTGCTGTATGATGCCCTGCTACTTGTCTGTTCCTCAGAGCTTCCTGAAGGCCAAGATTATTACATCTTTCTGGGAGGCCCGCAGAAAACATTTACTGAATAAATACGCAAATGGGGCTGGCCAGCTCAGCCAGTCCTTCCCTGAGCCGGTTCTTCCACCAGGGGAGCTCAGCTGGCCATTGAAASTAGGTGGCTTTAAAGTATGTCTGCACATTTTCTGACACTCTTTCTTCAAAAGGAAGTTAACGACCCCCCCCCTTCAATGTCAGTAACACTTAATGGCTCATTTTTAATGAAGAGAACAAGTGCAAGTGACCCGTGCGTCTTCTGAGGCTAGGTCATGAAAAGGATGGCCTCCACCTGGTTCTCTCTGGCTGAGCTTGCTGCCTCTGGAGGATCCGGCCGCCATATCACAAGGGTGCTCAAGCAGCCTGTGGAGAGGAACCACAGTCTCCTGTCAACAGCCGGCACCAGTGAGCAACCTGGGAAGCAGAGCTTCTGACCCAGTTGAGTCTTCTGAGGACTGTGGCTCTAGCCAGTTCCCCACAGCAACATGATGATAGACTGTGGACCAGAACCACCCAGACAAACCATCCCTACTGGTCCACAGACACTGTGAGAGATAATGTGCACGTGGTTAAAATGCTAAKTTTGGGAGCAATTTGTTCTGTGGCAACATTTGAGAATTTGGGTCTTTTAAAGGGGGTTCAAGGGATTTCCTTGAATTTAAGGAGTTAATGTCAGGTCTTATCATGCTTATAATAAAAATGTTGTGATTAGGAATCTATAGAATACAACCATAACCCCACTAACATTACGCAAATTCTAAAATCCCATAGATCAAATAATGCCACCTTAGACTAATAACTACCTTTGAGAATATTTATATTACAATATAATCCTTTGGGATTATATTGTAATATAATTTTCAAAATCATGTATACACAGAAAAAAGTCTGGAATTAATATCTACTGAAATTTTAGTAAGAACTTTTTTTAGGATGACATTAGCTTTTTTCTTTTTTATAATCTTTGGGGTTTTTTAAAATCTACATTATGTATATATTACTACTATTATATATATATATATTTAAACTTTAAAAAGGGGTTTTATAACCCAGTAAGACCAGTAGCTATATGGAATTTCTAGCTAACATCAAACACAATGAGTAACACACTGTAGGTGCTCAACAAAAGTGCAATGAGAGTCTTAGCTGTATATCCTGCCACTGGATGTTAGTTTTATGAAGAGACTCCAGGATAATGTAAGCCCCAAAAGCTCCAAGATGTGAAAAAGCAGCAGTCAGTTTTCTTAGGAAATAGGTGACTAAGTATAGGAAATCATTTCACTGTTGTATTCTTAGGACACACACAGTAACTACTTTTCTCTTTGAAACTAAGTATTTTGAGTGATTTATTATAAATTTATAATGACAGTTGTGAATACCTCTCTCTCTTTCTTCCTTTGGCATCAGAACAGAGTCTGTTGATTGCCTTGGTGCTTAAAATAGTTTCTAAGTGTCCTCATAATAGCATGTCACCTGTAAACAGGTTTCAAGCCAATGCAAATTAACAAATGGTGAACAGATGGACTAAGAACTGACTTTTGTCAAGAGAGTTAGCAACAAACACTTTTTGGCTCCAGTCTTACGGGACCATTAGAAAGTCTTTCACTCCTCGCCAACATCTTGCCTCAATAGACAATCCATGCATGGAAAGTGACAAGTTACAAGGCCATCAGACTTCAGAGAGCTGCAGGTTGAGCTGTGCAGAACCCCCAGACCAACACGTAAGCAACAACAGAGTGCAACGCTCCTCGAGAAGCTTTGGGCTTCTTTGGTAAGCTGCTTCTTGAGAAATATGGCACCCAGCACACACAACACTCGAGGACAATTTGCCCAGTTCCCTTGGCTGTGTTCATCCTGAAGTGAACGCAAAATGTGGAGGAAGTCTGGAGAGGTGTACATGGAGGTAGAAGAGTGCATTCCTGCTGGACAAAGGCCCAGGAAGCATCCCTGGGGGCCACCCCAGCTCTTCCCYGGCCTTTCCTCCCAGTGTCTGCTCCGGATCATGTCCTGAGAGCCCTTTTTTGGCTACTCTACTTCAGCAGGCTCCCCCTCCCACACCTTGCTCTTCTTTATTCCCTTCCACTGATTATAACTAGAAATTATGGTGCTAACTTATAAATTTGTTTAGAGTTTTTTTCCTGTCTACCCGCCACTCCCATACCACCACCACCCACTAAACAAAAGACTCTTGGAAGACTGTGTCCATCTTGCCCGTGATTACATCTCCAGAGCATGGACCATGCCCCAGCACACAGTAGGCACAATAAATATTTGCTAACCAAGCAGAAAATAAATGAGATCTTCAGTAAGGGCAAACTATTAAGTCTTCTATGCAAATACTCCTTTGGGCAGGAAATGTAAAAATGTAGTTGCCCTTTAGTTCATAAGCAAAAGGAAGTCTAAGGACAGCAGGACAGTTGGGGAATGTGCCTAAAGTCTATGCCCAGCCTTCTGGGGGGGTGTGGCCCCTCTTTATCAGCAAGGATTGACAGCTGCATCATGGAGCAATCCTTGGCACACATCTCTTAGGGCTTCTGATACAAAATAACTTAACAGGTAAATGGATGAAACAACGTGGCATATTCACAAGAAGACATAGCAACAAAAAGTACAAACAGCCTGCTGAATCTAAAGATATTGAGTGGAAAAATATGGATACACTGGTCCCAGGCAGGCGCATCTCAGTAGTAGAACACTGCTCCTCATGCACAAGGCCCTGGGTTCAATCCCCAGCACAAACACAAGCTGACAGAGATGCCATGTTGTGCGGCTCCGTTTATATGAAGTTCAAGGGTAGGCAAACTGTTTCAGAGGCCAGGCTAGGGAGGACAGCAGCACAAGTACGCTGGGAACAAGGCTAGGAAGGGGCCCTTCCAGCCTTCTGGCAGTGGTAGTACATGGAGGTCCACATGTGTGAAARAACTCACAGAGGTGTGTGCCCTAGGAACCTCGCTGCACCTGGCGCAGAAGGGTACATGGTCACTACCCAAAAGAAGCAGCAACCCAACTGCTTCCAATGCCAGCTTTAGCTGATTCTCTAGGTGTTCCTCAGCTGTCTCCTTTGTCAGATAAGGACAAGGGAAATCATATTCGGCCAAGTTTGGGACTGTGATAAGGAAACAAATGAAATGATAAGCTATGTGTCATCTAAAAGTCTTAGAAGGAAAGGTCACATACAAAACATGTAAACTACAAACTGCATTACAGCTGCTTCATAAAGATCTATGCAAAGGATGTTACCATAGCACTTGGTTTCTATTTCCACCATACTCCTTTTTTAAAGAAAGAAACAATTCTGAAAACAAAAATAACTTTCCAGCAGCTCAAAACAAGCACAATGTCGAGTTCACCCAAAAGGAAAGTTATTTTCCAAACCCATCACTCACTGAGGTGGCAGGACCAGGGTGGTGGGCTGTGCCTTTGGTCGACGCTTGGCAGACACTCCCATCTGGTTTGCAGACCGCTTCAAGGACTGCTGATTCAAAAGGCCAGATGCCAGGCCTGCGTGGTACTGCAACTACAGAGAAGAAGAAAACAAAGGGGGGAGGAAACAGCATCAGACCACCAAACGACACAGTCCCAACCTGCTCCACCAGTTCAGGAATATCATACCTAGCTACCAACATGCTGCTGCAAGGAATTTTTCCTAAAGAGAGAAGTGCATAAATAGAAAAGAAATATGGATAAGGTTGCTCATGACAGCATTGCACAATGATGAACACTGGACTTAACCAAACTGTCCAACAGTGAATTGGGAAAGTGGTTAAAATGTCAAAAGAACTTTACAACATCATTTTGTGGAATTAAAAATAATTTGCATGTAAATAGAGAATTAAAATGCTAGCAGTATATTTCTAAATACTAGTAGGAATTGGGTAATTTTTCTTTATTTTTCACTATTATTCATAAATTTTATGGAAATAATTTTAAAGCTTATGTCACTTAAAAAAAATAATAAGAGCCCAAGGTTTCCCTTAAAGAGTTAGTTCTGAGAACTCATGTTATTATCATATCTTTCATATAATAAAAACCACAAAACTCGTGGCCTATCATAGTGAGCCAGGAACACGCAACCATCACACACTCAAGTGCCATGCAGCTACTGTTTCCATGGTTAAGGTACCAGCATCAATCAGAAGGACGAACTCAGGACTATATCTGACAAAATGTATACAAATAGAGGCTCGTTGAGAACTGGTGAAGAAGTCAATACCATCTCCACTTACCTGTGACTGGAAGCACATACTTTAAGTGGGCTCAGTGCCAGCATCCTTTGCTTTATTCCTGGACAAACTGCTGAGCTCTGAGGTTACAGGACAGATCATTTTACCCTCTACAGTATTTCACCTTCTCCATTGGAAAAGAGAAATGACACTGCCTAGTTCTAAATCAAACAAGAAATTTTAAAAATCCACTTCAAGATAACAGTTTGTGTAAAATGCACACATTTTAAGTGTATAGTTTAATAAGTTTTGGCAGAAGTATTTATCTGCATGACCAACACCCCAAATCAAGACATAGAAATCTTGCATCACTRCAGAGAGCTCCCTCACAGCCCCATGCAGCCAATCCCCCAACTCCTACCACCAGGACCTATGGATTTATAAAACTCATCATTCTCACTAATTGCCAAATAAAGCGTCTCTCCAGCTTGATATATAATAATGACTTTTTAATTCTGGGCTTTGTATTTTAGATCGTAAGAGTTATCATCAACTCTTCACAATAAAATCAGCCTTGAAAGTTGTCCCAATTTTGAACCGATGTAAACAAAACACTCAAATGTGCAAATGTAAAGCTATGAATCTGGACTGAGACCATTTTTAACATCCAATGTTTCCTCTTCTCTTCTCAAATTAAGCAAGATCTTTCAAACATATATTTAGAATAAAGTAAGCGTACAAAGAGTAATTCATTCTAAAATTCTGATCAATTTCTTTTCAAACTGTTCTTCCTAGGCATAGATCTTCTTTGTCGTGTCAGCTACTTACAGCTCATGGTAATGAAGCTGCTGACCACCACATATAAAGGGCTGGGCCCTGGATGCGAAGGGTAATAACATTCTAAAAAATAAATGGCCTCACCTAATGCCACTGGGCTGCACACAAACAGAGTGAAGAAAACAAAGCCAATTGAAATGATCTGCTCCTTGGAAGTGGCTATAAAAATGAAGATACCAGTGACCCAGCAAGACTGAAACGGCTGTATCTGGAGCATCCATACTGCTTCTTAACAGGCTCTTGATTTACTTGGTCGATTTGCTGTGCAGTCTATGGCTGCCCCACACAAGACAAGGATATATTGCCTTCATAATAAAAATGGAGCTCTTCTCAGGGTAGAAAAGGGGGGCATAATTTGCCTCTAACAACTCATCTTAGACCAATGAATTTTGTTCAAATTTGGTTTTCTCCTACAGATTTCTTAAATGGGAAATCAATGGAAACAAGGGACAGTACAAGTTTGAAAGACAATGTTTCAAAATGTCAGCTGCCTGGGTTTCGATCTTCCCCACTAGAATTTGCAATGAGTGCAATATGCATGGGGCTTTATGGAATTTAAAGGGAAAGACGGCTTGGCAGGGCCCCTCCTGGCTCAAGGAATCATCTCTCCTTTTGGCTCTCCTTTGTCCATGCAAGCTCAGCCATTCCACTCCTGCTGACTTGGAGAGGAAGAGTCCTGCAAACTATGCAGAGTGGCAGGGGGATTTTGCCCACCTGGCATCATTTGAATCGTCTGCTCAAACAAAACGCAAAAGAGCAGAACTACATGCTAACTGCATCTGCCTTTTACAGGGTTCCTGTGCAGCCCACCATCTTGGAGGCCCTCAACCACAGCACAGCTCCCAGAGCCCATGTAGGTGGAGGGACGTCTCTTCCCCCAGAATGAAACTTGCCCTTGCAAGCTGACTCATAGAGATTAAGTGGCATTTGTTAATCATATATACGGACCAGTTTCCAGGAACACAGCTCCAACTGTCAAGATCTATAAGGGGCCCATTAAATATTAACCGGACCACCTTTATAATGGGAGAAAAGGTCAAAGTTAATAAAACTGACAGGCAGCTCCTGTCCAACAGGATTTATACATTATTCAAGCACCAAAAACTCTGTTCCATGAAGCTTGGTGTAGATCCGAAGAGAGTTTTGGAGAACGTTCACTAGGCTCATCGTTCTAGAACAGCAGAAGGGAGCTCAGAGGGAACCCACAACCAGCGTTAGGAACATATCACTCTACAAAACAGTGCCATCAGTTTCCGATTACAGGTTCTGTAATATTTTCTATAAAAATACATTTCAATAMACAATCTCCTCTCCAAATGCCTGTGGCATGGAAACAGCTCTATTTCAAACAGCAACTGCTGAAGTTCTAATGTGATTTTCTAATCAAGATCATTTCACTAGCAGCAAGAATAAAAGAAAAGAAAAGAAAGAAATCCATCTATTCTTTTTTTTTTTTTCACTTCCTACCACTGCGGAGACAGAGTGTGTGCATGGCGAGCWGGACAGGGTCTTTACTCACCACAAGGCTGCCACGCCATGGCACAGCCCTGCAACACCCCAGAGCGCTCTAGAGTTTTGAGAGTATTTCTCCAGGTACAGTTCTGCTCTATTAATTTCAGCCTTCTATTTTCTATGAATGATGTAGGATTCTTCCATCAGTTCTCAACCTAAAGCCTTTTCTAATCAATTATATCTACTAATTCCCTCAACACCTACGAAAATTTCAACACCTTATAATGACCTGAGGGAAAGACCAATTAGAATTAGGAAAATCTTGGTTTACTGGGTATTTTTTAAAGTACTGCTTGGTGATACTAAGCACGTGAGAAGCTCAAAGTGTCATCAGGTAGGGTCTGTAATATTTTCTATACGCCCAGCCAGCGAGCCTATGCAAGCATCCTCTTGAGAAATGTGCTCCTGGGCTTTGCTACTAGTAACTGCTATGTGATCATACATCTCACTTCCTTTTCTAGAAAACAAACTTTATATTTTCCTCAAGAACCCATTAAATTCTAAAATTGAATTCCTCCGTGTTCCTAAAAAGGGCATTAAGCTTCACCATAAAGAGGTGAAGTGATATCCCTACTATATTCTTATAATAAGCTTAATACAACTTCCCTTGGGCAGCCTAGGTCTTTACAGAATCTTCTTGAAAGAGTCTAAACTGGTTTGGGGTGTGCTCAGTGGTAGAAAGCTTGCCTGGAATGTAGAGGTCCTAGGTTTCCATCACCAGCACCGCCACCCCTCCCCCCATCCCCCACTTCAAAAAGAAAGTCTGAGCTCCTGGTGTCAAAATTGGATTGGGCTGGGGATATAACTCAGTTGGTGGAGTGCTTGCCCCCACCATGCACAAGGCCCTGGTTCAATGCCYGGCACCATCAAAAAAAAATTTTTTTATTAGCTTTAATAAGCTATGAATTATAATTAATGACATATACTGGAAGGAAATATGACAGAAAATGATAAAAACAGCATTCAAATGCAAGTTCTGGCTAAAATTTCAGATTCAAAATCAAATGAGCAACAAATTATTCCCCTTAGTTCTCCATTTGCTTGTCGGCCACATTGCTCTGAATGCTTCTACCTGCTCCAAAATAGATAAAGAAAACATTTTCATTTTCCAATGAACCTAAGTTTAAAAAGAAATTTGTCATGTTCAATATGCTAATTAAGCCAGTGGCATTCAATCAGACCCAGTACTTGGAGGTGACGTGCATGCTGGAACCTCCCAGGGGTCCATGCCACAGTGTYTCACCATATGCAACATCTTTCTACCGGTGCCATATGGCTGGAATCCCACTTTAAGAGAATTTGACATTCAAAAATCTCAAAACTTATAAACTAGAGCGATCAAGATCTGATTCTTCCCACTATAAAAAAAGCATTACTTCCTTGTCAAAGATTCACCAAAGGCCTTCTTTACAGAAGGGACAAGTGGGGGTGCTGGAAGACCTCTCCTGACCTTAAGGTATGTTTCACTTTAAGAATTCACTTTATATATGTTTCTAAGAACATTAACAGTGCACTGGTACTGCCATAACCAAATCCTATGGACAAAGAACAGGACAGAACTAAGCTCTAACACACTGTAGGAAGCTTGGATCAGGGGCCCTCAGGACAGAAAAAAGAAATCAGGAGGGCAAGTACACCTCCCACCCCACCCCACCCCCAGTCCCCCATGTAAGTCACTCTGGGCCAATTCCCTCTCCAAACACATGGCTCCTATTGTCCTGGGAAGAAGAAAGGCAGCCTGTGCTATTTCCTTGGCCAACAGTGACACTGGCCACCCAGGAAGACCAGGAGAGTGCAGACCTTGTTGTTGGTTCCTCTGGGATCCCGCTGCACACAGTGGCTGCTAGGCAGACTGAAGGTYAGTCAGACTGCTCGGGCCTGGCCTGGCATTCTCGCCTATCTAGAGAACAGACTTGCTCCATCCAACAGTCCTCTTACCACTGGCCTCTTCCAGCATCGGAAAAGGAGAGAAGCCAACCCCACTTCACTCATCTCCATTTTACAT